TTTTTAAGAAAATTCTGTCATTAAAAATCTTTCGATGGTATATTTTTTCTTAGAAAATTTAGAAAAGAGTCATTTACAGTTATTTTACACATGAAATATCCTCTGGCTTTTGTTTTGGAACAGATTTTCATGTCTCTCAGACTCATTTTGTTCTTTTGCAGCACATGGTGTTACAGAATATGCATTGAAACAACAAACATAAGTCACTACAGCGTAGCTAAAAATAAAAAAATACGTAGACTTCATACAGAAAAATTAAATACATGCATACATACAATACAGTGCCATGCAAACACAGTTCATTTTGGGAAGTAAATTATTAACGTTTGCATTTCTTTCCCGTGTTTCAAACATTTCATGCCTTCTTGCTATACAAACATGACATGGCTTTTACATAATGTGACATTCACTGCAGCTGCTGCAGGAAGTTGCGTGCCGAAAACTCCTTGGTTTTAGATAGGGCAATGTTTGGTTGATAAAAGTTAAAAAGGTTCTTATCACTAATGACTCAGTACTTAAGATCACCTTCTAGCTCCTCAGAAATAGGAAATATGTTTGTGGTAAAGTATGATTCTTTTCCACCCTTGCATCTCATTGTTTACTTATATTATTTTCACAATAAGTAGGTTTAATAGTCTTTTTGATAATTAGTGATTTGTTGCTTGATACTGAATGATCATTCCTCACGTACTCCTTGTCAAACACATATTTGTCACTGACATTTGGTCCAGTATGAACATTCTAACCTGCCCCCAGCTGCCTGTTAAGCTGTCTTCTTTGAGAGCAATTCACTCTCTCAGAGGCATCATAAAGAAACAAGACAGCAGTGCCCCCTCAATGACAGCCCTTTAAGAATCAGCCGATCTCCTAGTCTACCGGTCTACAATCAGCCACATCTGCTTACATATGGGGCCTCTCTATCACATGCCACTGGCTAAGATCTTCTTGCAAGAGGTCAGCGTGAGATTGGTATCTATTGGAGCTGCTGACCTTGAGTGTGTTTGTTTTGGGACTGCAATGGAGATTGTTATCGGGCCTTGGCCCACGAAGATAATACTGTTTACTAGTGATGACTGAATGAAGCCTCATGAATCATTTTCTCCACGAGATGGCACTTTTTGTTCAACAAAAGGTTTAAAACACACCGAATTGCCATTCTTTGAGCCACTCTCTTTAAACCAAGAGCGACATCTAGTGGCCTCAGAAAATAAAGAAAAGTCTTCACGAGGCTGCATTCGGCCATCACTACTGTTTATCCTCTGGGGAGACAGCAGCCATTTTAGACTTCTAAGACTCAATACTTAAGAAGGGTATTTGTGGATTAGCTTTCCACTATTTCTTGATGGAATGTCATTTGAAGTATTGAGGCAAAATATAGTCATTTACTACATGGACAAGACCAGCTGCAGGCTGGTCATGTTTGCAATGTTCCCAATAGAGAGCTGAAGGGTTGACTCCACTTCCAGGCTGAATGCTGTCCCACTGGCTTTTACAGCTCAATGGAATCTCTCATTAAGGGTGTCTTTCACTGGGCTATAAAATTTGTCCTGGGGTTTAATACTTTTTTCTACCATGGCCTTGAACATATTAAACATCACTGTAACTGTCATATCCAGTCTGTCAAGTCATGGATATAAATCTAATCTAAATCTAATTGTGGGTTTGAAGGAACGGTGTATATTAAAGATCCAGTGCGCAAGATTTAGGAGAATGTAGTGGCATCTAGTAGGGGTGGGTGACAAAAATCAATACAGAATAATATCATAATATTTTTGTGTGGCAATATCGTATCATCACACAGTGCCAAGTATCATTTTTTTAATGATACAAATTATTGATATTACAAATACAAACTTCAGGTAGCCAACTTGAATATTAAAATCAAATGCTTTTTAGGTCCACTACTTATATTTTGCTGCAAATAAAATGACTGAAGTGATATGAACAGACTGAAAACCTGACCTCATTAGATAATATAAATGTTGACAAAGTTTTCCTTTGGGGACATAATTTACAGTTGAAAAAAGGTAATAAATTGCAATATATTGCAATATATTTGATCACAATACTCAGCATATCACAACACATTAAAATTGCATTAATATTGTATGGTGACTTAAGAATTGTGATGATAACATAACGTGGAGCCGTTGTTGATTCTCACCCCTAGCATTTAGTGGTAAGGATTGCAGATTGTAACCAGCTGAAACAAGTTACAGTAACATAAGATCAAGACGTTAAGGAAGTTTTCACTAGGAGTGGAATTAACCACAGAGGTCTCTTTCTCTCCAAACAAACAGACCAGATGATTTAAACTGGTAAAACCACTGAATAAAGCAGTTTCACATTACAAATAATTTATTCCTGATGCTGGCTCATTGCAGATGGGCTTTTAAGTACGGTGGTCCCTGTGACAATGCAAAAACAGAAATGTCCCTATCTAGCACCAGTGTTTGGTTTGTCTGTTCTGGGCTACTGTAGAAACATGGCAGTACAACATGACAATCTCCATAAACGAGAACCTGCTCCCTGTGTAGATATAATTGGCTGATTCTGAGGTAACAAAAACACAATTGTTATTTCCAGGTGATTATACACCTAACAAACTATTCTTATCACAATACATTCCATTTCTGCCAATATATCCACCTAAATCCAACACACTGAACCTGTAAAGCAAATTTTGGTCATGTGGGAACCCAGAGACATTCCGAAAAAAACATCTTGACAAATTCTCACCTAAAAGTTAGCATGAATTAGCAAGCAATTGCCTATTTACACATCCCCCAGATCCGGAGCAACATTAGCAAACATTTGGTGTTGTGTTCCTGACCAATGAAAGTCCAATATTTGCTCTACTTCAAGCTCTAATTTGATGTACATTGACTTCTGAGGGACATGTGTGGCTCTTTAAGTGCTATATGCTCCACTGTGTCCACTGACTTTGTCTACCTGTTGTCTGTTGCTAGGGAGGTAAAAAAAGACTGGGTATATCAAAGCTTTTGAACAGGAAAAAGTTGCCTGCTGCTGGAAACAAGGTTGATGAGAGTAGTGAGAGTAAACCATTAGGCTAGGTTGTTGGCCACAGAATAATAATGGGCTCAAAGACACTAAAAGTCTTTGCATTGCTGAATTTAACTGCAGAGTTGAGGCATAATTCTCTGTGACTTTGTCACTAGGATCAACCACTTTCACATGACACCTGTCTGTTGATCCATTGCCAGGCATGAATATATTGATTAGTGCAGCTGTACAGGCTGGTAAATATATATATACAGTACAGGCCAAAAGTTTGGACACACCTTCTCATTCAATGCGTTTTCTTTATTTTCATGACTATTTACATTGTAGATTCTCACTGAAGGCATCAAAACTATGAATGAACACATGTGGAGTTATGTACTTAACAAAAAAAGGTGAAATAACTGAAAACATGTTTTATATTCTAGTTTCTTCAAAATAGCCACCCTTTGCTCTGATTACTGCTTTGCACACTCTTGGCATTCTCTCCATGAGCTTCAAGAGGTAGTCACCTGAAATGGTTT